ATCTGACACACAGTCATCTATCTGACACCTCTATCTGACACACAGTCTTCTATCTGACACCTCTATCTGACACCTCTATCTGACACACAGTCATCTATCTGACACCTCTATCTGACACACAGTCTTCTATCTGACACCTCTATCTGACACCTCTATCTGACACACAGTCATCTATCTGACACCTCTATCTGACACACAGTCCTCTATCTGACACACAGTCCTCTATCTGACACACAGTCCTCTATCTGACACCTCTATCTGACACCTCTATCTGACACACAGTCCTCTATCTGACACCTCTATCTGACACACAGTCCTCTATCTGACACACAGCCCTCTATCTGACACACAGTCCTCTATCTGACACAGTAAATGCGCAAAAAGGCGGCGCCTGAACACAACTGAGTGAATGCAATTGTCAAGTGTCTTTTGGACAACACTGCATGACAATAGAAGAAATGAATAAATAAATAAATAGAAAATGTTAGAGCTATGTACAATATGAAAAAAGCCAGAGACACAGCATTGAGATGTTGGTAGTATACGACAGATAGTGACACAACGTTGAGCTATGTACACAGCGTGACATATAGTTAGTGATACAACATTGAGCTATGTACACAATGTGACAGATAGTTGGCGATACAACGTTGAGCTATGTACACAATGTGACAGATAGCCAGTGACACAACGTTGAGCTATGTACACAGTGTGACAGATAGTTGGCGATACAACGTTAAGCTATGTACACAATGTGACAGATAGCCAGTGACACAACGTTGAGCTATGTACACAGTGTGGTATATAGCATATAGTTAGCGATACAACAGTGAGCTATGTAGCTATGTACACAACATGACATATAGTCAGTGATACAACAGTGAGCTATGTACACAAGGTGACAGATAGCCGTGCAGTGTCTTACCTTCATTAGGTGGCTAGATGGTGCAGAAAGACAAACGTGTCATATGGTTATTCACAGTACAATGACAGTACAATAACAACAACAACAACAAAGACAGAGAGAGAGAGGGAGAGAGAGAGAGAGAGAGAGAGAGAGAGAGAGAGAGAGAGAGAGAGAGAGAGAGAGAGAGAGAGAGAGAGAGAGATCTAGGCCTCATTTTTGTTAACTGAGGAGGAAA